GGGGGGCTGCAGTGATGGTTGACTTTCTACAACTTTCTCTCATCTCCTGACTGTATCTCTGGAGCTCAGCCACAGTCATCTTTGGGTTCTTCTGTACCTCTCTCACCAAGGCTCTTCTCCCCCGATAGCTCAGTTTGGTCGGACGGCCAGCTCTAGGAAGGGTTCTGGTCGTCCCAAACGTCTTCCATTTAAGGATTATGGAGGCCCCTGTGCTCTTAGGAACCTTAAGTGCAGCAGAAATATTTTTGTAACCTTGGCCAGATCTGTGCCTTGCCACAATTCTGTCTCTGAGCTCTTCAGGCAGTTCCTTTGACCTCATGATTCTCATTTGCTTTGACATGCACTGTGAGCTGTAGGGTCTTGTATAGACAGGTGTGTGGCTTTCCTAATCACGTCCAATCAGTATAATCAAACACAGCTGGACTCAAATGAAGGTGTAGAACCATCTCAGGGATGATCAGAAGAAATGGACAGTACCTAAGTTAAATATATGAGTGTCACAGCAAAGGGTCTGAATACTTATGACCATGTGATATTTCAGTTTTTCTTTTTTAATAAATCTGCAAAAATGTCAAAAAATCTGTGTTTTTCTGTCAATATGGGGTGCTGTGTGTACATTAATGAGGAAAAAAATGAACAAATGATTTTAGCATATGGCTGCAATATAACAAAGAGTGAAAAATTTAAGGGGGTCTGAATACTTTCTGTACCCACTGTATATATGCTGAAGGCCAGAGGCTCATACTAAACATCTAATCGTTCCTGATGGTGCTCGTTTACACCACCAAATACACTTTTAGTATGTTGCTTTTGTGCTAAAATTCACTCGTGGTCTTCAATACTGATGGCTTTTCACAATGTGTTTTTGTCACTGTATCACTTATCTACCTATTTAAAGCAGCTGTGGTAGATTAGTGTCACCGCACTGTGGATCAGGGGAGTGGTATCGTGAACATAACATCAATGCATTCTTTGAAAAAGGAAAACAAACTGCCAATATAAGACAAAAGACAGTTCTTGTTTGTTCTCCTGTGTGTGTGTAGGGTCAGCTCCAGATGTGGGTCGACATATTTCCCATGGACTTGCCTCTTCCAGGGCCCCCAGTGGACATTTCACCTCGAAAACCAAAAGGGTGAGAGCTGTCTGTATTTCAATACCTGACAGCAACGCCTGCTGGCAGATCTTCACAGTCTTGATAAAACATTATTTCTTTCTGAAAAGTGCAACTAACACTCAAATGTGTGGTCAGGTATGAGCTGCGTATCATCATCTGGAACACGGAGGATGTGATTTTGGAGGACACCAATTTCTTGACTGGTCAGCAGTCTAGTGATATCTACATCAAGGGGTAATAACAAGCAGCTCCCTGTTTGTTCAAAGTGCAGATATTGTCAAAATCATAGTTTACTAATTACAATAACTAGACACTGAAAAACCGACCTTTTGATTTGAGGGATGGTTTTAAATTGTCATAATGCCATATTATATGTGTAAAATATCACCTGTGAACATTGCTGCTGTCACTCTCTGTAGCTGGTTGAAAGGTTTGGAGGATGACCGACAAGAGACTGATGTCCACTACAACTCACTGACTGGAGAAGGGAACTTCAACTGGCGCTTTGTCTTTCCCTTCAACTACATGCCTGCTGAGAAGGTACTGACAGAAAGACAGTTTCAAACTCCCTCATGTGAGAATGGTCCAGAATCCCCAGCAGCTCAACAACAACTTCCTATTATTCTACATTTTGTGGATGAACCACCTATGGGTCTTTGCCTCTAGTAGATAATAGATGTGACAGACCTGCTCATACCCCCTCTCTATCACAGGTAATTGTGGTGAAGAAGAAAGAGAGTATTTTCTCTCTGGATAAAACAGAGCAGAAACTTCCTGCCATCCTCATTCTGCAGGTTTGGGACTTTGAGACGCTCTCCTCTGACGACTTTCTAGGTGTGTACTACTGCTTCTCCATGCGTATCTGTGTCCCTTTATTTGTATATCTGACTGATTAAGAGTGTGTGTACATGTAGGCGCAGTGGAGTTAGACCTCCATGGTTTCCCTCGAGGGGCAAAGACGGCCAAGTCATGCAAGATGGACATGATGATAGACAGCACAGACAGAATCTCCATCTTCCAGCAGAAGAGATCACGTGGCTGGTGGCCCTTCGTCAAATCTGGAGAGCTGACGGTACATAAACGTACATAGATTGTCAAACGCTTGTGAGATACTGGTTTTTACAAGGTTTGATTGACATGTATGCGATGTGCTTTGAATCCATCAGGGGAAAGTGGAGGCAGAGTTCCATCTTGTGACGGTTGAGGAGGCAGAGAAAAGTCCTGTTGGCCGAGCCCGCAAGGAGCCAGAGCCTCTGCCAAAACCAAAGTAAGTGCAGCCCGGCAACCTGGTGTGGTGACCAAAACCATTTTTATTCAATTGTTGTATGGATTGAACAAACAAAATATTGAGTGTGTGACATGGTGGTCTTTAGAGGTGCTGTTGTACAAATTTCCTTACCTCCAGACAGAGCTAGACAAGCTGTTTCCCGGTTACCAGTCTTTTTGCTAACCAACTGCAACACAGTGGTATCGAGCATGTCATCAAACTGCTGGCAAAAAAATGTGTCAAACTATTCCTTTAAATATAAAAAGCAGCAGCCGGACTTGTTTGATTCAGTTTTATTTATATAGCACCAAATCACAACAAGAATCATCTTAAGGCACTTTGTAGGTCAAGACCTTGCTGTACTAAGGAGAAAACCTGAACAAATCCCCTTAAGCAAGCACTTGGCGACATTAATGGAAAAAACCTCTGACAGAATCAGGCTGAGAGTGGGCGGCCGTATGGCTTGCTTAGCACTGGACTCCTGAAAAACTACGTAATTGTCTTTTCTTTGTCTCCCTCTCCAGTCGTCCAGACACCTCCTTCTCATGGTTTGTCAATCCGTTCAAATGCTTCTTCCACCTAATATGGCGGAACTACAAGAAGTACATCATCATCGCCCTGATTCTGCTCATCACAGCACTGTTCCTGGCCCTGCTATTCTACACGCTTCCAGCAGCCATCTCTCAGAAGATAGTCAATGGATAAGTTAATGGGTTTGGGGCTTAGAGCCACTGAAAAACTGACTAGCACGTTAGATTTTGGTCTTTTCATTTACAAGCCTATCAATCTAGACAAAATATCAGAAGTTACTCATCACTAAAATTCAGTGTACTCTCCAAGCTGGCTACTATGGAAGTAAATCCACCCTAAAACATTTGACTGCCCACTTTGTAATTCAGCATTTACAAGCGCACAGGCACAGATTTGTAAGAGCAACATCAGAATTGAGAGCATAATCCTGGCACTTGTCTGTGCCCTCCAATTTCACGGTGTGAAGGTCTGTTGGTGCTAAAAATTTTGAAAAGCGCAACAAATTTCAAGCACTATATAGTTTGCAAATTAGAACTTGAGAGCACACAGGTACAGATTTGTCAGGGCAGAAATCATCTGTTATGCTCACACTTCTGTCCTCCCTCACTTGACTGTCTGTGCTCCTACAAATCAGTGCCTGTGGGCTCTGAAAATTTGATTTGCAAAGTTAATAGCAACCTGTTTTGTGCACTTTCACAGGTTTTGGCAGAGACGGACTTTGACGAAATCCCCAGTGGACAAATCTGAGCGCACAGACTGAGAAACAAGAGCATGCAGATTATGTTCTCAAATCTGATGCTGCTGTTACAAATCTGTGCCTGCACGCTCTGTTAAATGCTGAATTTCAAACCGAGTAGTGCTCAAAATCTGGTTTGTACACCCCCAAAAGTCTTAAAGGATTTACTGTTATAGATGTATACACTCAGCCACTTTATTAGGTACAACTGTATGCACTTCAATGTAACACTTCCACCTTAACATTTGTGTTTATAAAGCTTAAAATGTTTCAGTTTTGGTGAAATTGTCAAATGTATAAATTCAATTATATGTTTATTATTGAGGTCAGAGTTAAAGGTGGTGTTGTACTGGACTACATTAAGACAATTTCACCAGAAAAACATTGAGCTTCATAAACAGATGTTAACGCAGAACTGTTGCATTGAATTGAATATAAATTGTATAGGTGTGCCTAATAAAGTGGCTGGCGAGCGCAGTTTTGGCAAAACAGTGGCAATAGGCATTAGCCCCAGCAATACATGAAGGGCACAAACTGAAGCTAAACAGACATGCTTACAGCACAAAGACAGAACAGCTGCTGAAGCATAACATACATTTTTACACAAACTGAGAACCAAGAACTGTGTTAAATCCAGAACGAAGAGGGGGAATGAAGACAGCACCAATAACTTTCAAAGTACAGTAGAATTGTGTGTTTCCTTAAAGGTAGGGCTGGCGAATCTTTTCAGAAGCATTTTTTGTTACATATCTTGAAATACTCTTTTCATCCCGATGGCAGTTAATACATTATACACCTGTGGCAGCAGCAGGGCTGAGAAACACCTGACCAATAATTTTACTCGGCCTACCTGCCCATCAACCTAACTGCCTATTTGTGCACACTCTGCCCTTGCACTCAATGCGCGAGCCTTGCAATTGGAGGAAGCCGTTACTACTCTGTTTTGATTGCTAAATCTAGAGAGCTATGGTAGGGAAGGTTCCCACAGCAGCTTGTGTTATCAGAGGCCATTGTTATAGGCCAGGCCTTCCTCTATAAGATGTATGGCCTCATAGAAGTTGCTGTCTGCATGCAGTATGTGCACTATGAAACTGAGAAGCCTACCATATGGAACAGGCTCCTTTTACATGCAGCTACAAGTGGGGAAAATACCAACAGTAGTCAGCTCTAAGTGTATAGACAGGATTGTAATGCAGTTAACTGGCCACCAAAGCCACATGCAGTGTTCATGTTACCAAGACAGAATAAATTCTGTGTTTTGAACAGAGTTAGCTGGCCTCCTCGTCACTTCTCCCTACCAGAAAAGCCCTGACCGGCTACAAGCCAGGACTAAAGCAGTTTAGCCATGAACCAGAGGTCACCAACTACAGTTCAGGTCCACCGATCTGGGCGGGTAACACCATATTCAAGAAAGTTACAACTAAAAAGAAGTTGGATGCTGCAATAAATAAAACCAGAATTAACATCTGTGTGACTTCTGAAGGACAGCGACCATTGAGATGGTTGTCTACTTCCAATATCGAGCTTCCTCATCCTGGTTTCTGCAGGATCACCAGCCCTGTATTTAAGACATTGACCCAATCCTATCCTTTTACCTCAACTTTATCTGCATATTCTGTGTTCAACACAGTCTCAGCTGCATTTACTATCATCAAACAAGATGTCAGGCTTGTGTCTCCTGTTTATTCTCAGAGCTGCCCAAACAACAGAATCTTCTTCTTGCTAGTTGCCTTGATAAATAGGTGTGTTCAATTCCACAACAAAAACATGCATTCTAAAGAACATAAAGACACACTGTCCCTGTGACACTACATTTCATTCAAATCAAACCAAATGTACTTTAAAATACATCAACTTTAAACATACAGGAGAGATAAAGTCAACTTAAAATCAATGGGTGTTTTAAAAATATTTCTACATATATATCGCCAAAGTACTAAATTTAAATCATTTGCTTCCTGTGTGTAGAAGAATTAGCTTTTAAAAGATTCTAAATGTTAGAACAGTGTGAGGAAGATTGCTGGCTGCTGACATTGATCCTGGTGACCGATACATTTTATTCTGTTTGGGTTTGGGGGAGGATACTGGTTTACTTGTTGAATAAGACATTAAAAGTCAGTTCATCTGTACATTTGTCAGTCTTTCATGCTTTTGTTTAGTGTTTCATATGCTCTTAAATGTTCCGTTAGTTTTCATTCTTCACTCTCAGTCTTAAAATCGCTGTGCATGGCTCTGATTTCAGACAGTTCACTGTAAGGTACCTGTCTCTGCCAAACAACTGCTATGCAGTGATAAGCTGACCTGGGGATAGGATGAGGAGGAGGATGTCACAGTGCGCTGATGTGCAGCCATGTTGGGGCCTCTCAGCAGCAGAGAAGAGGAAGAGGTGGGGGTTATGTAGGGGAGACTGGCAGAGCCCTTGTTTGCTGCCGACTTCATATTTTGGAGGAAGCCACTAGACTGAGCCAGCGTGGAGCTCTGCCTGGAGCTGGATGCTGAAACACAGGACAACGATTTACTGGTTAGAAAAGGTATTAAGTGATAAATGCACTGTCTGAAGACCGTCACATTCCTGTGGGGGATTTAAAAAAAAAATCTATTTACATCAACTCAGTTTAAATAACCTATAATTATACCCAAAAGGTAAAGGAAGAAAAAAAAAAATTCTACAATTTGACCCAGCAAACGCTGCACAAAAATAAAAATTATTCTGTGATGCCATTTAAGGCTTTTAATACATCAATACGGTTTACAGCCATACCATCAGACAGACATTTATAGGGTTTCCCACAGGAAATTCTTCTACAGGGTTATATAAAATAAAACTAAATTCTATTTTAATTAGCACTGCGTGTGTTCTTTTAAGCACAAATGGCCTGCTGCTTTTTAAACTGATTTAACTTAATCTGTCATATACTGAACTACAATTTTATGCAATCAAATTTTACAAACTCCATTAGGTGCCTGGATTAGGTCAAATCTGTGTCCAGCTGTTGATTATAAAATTAATTTCTGCCTTTATCATTTTCTGTGCGTCATCCCCCCCCGAATAAATTACACTTACAGTGAGGAACAGAAGTATTTGAACACCCTGTGATTTTGCAAGTTCTCCCACTTAGAAATCATGGAGGGGTCTGAAATTCACATTGTAGGTGCATTCCCACTCTGAGAGACAGAATTAAAAAAAAAATTTAAAAAATCACATTGTATGATTTTTAAAGAATTTATTTGTCTTGCACTGCTGAACATAAGTATTTGAACACCTGAGAAAATCAGTGTTAATATTT